GAATCTCCAAGATCACATTTACCTTATCAAGATTGACTTTAATGCCTTCCAGGGAGAGAAGGAACCACAAGAATTTTTATGAACCTACCTCAAAGGTACTCTTTATTACATTGAGTCTTGTTGCGTCCTAGAATATTCGCAGCGGTAGAGAAATATATAGTTTAACGTCTTAGCATTGTATGAAGATCCAGCATACAAGAAGATAAGAGAGAGGGTGTAGCGTTCATAAGAGACACCAGAATTTTTATGTGGAAAACCCCTGAAAAGGGGGAAAAACCAAGGGGCCTGGCTTAGTTTGAATGAATCCACTAGTATTTGCAGTCGATTACAAATGAGGCCCTTCCTTGGGAGAAGGCCTTGGCTTGATGGTACAAATGTACATCATATAAAGCTCATTACATAGTGAGAGTTACAATAATATACATGTTTGTGTAATATCAGTTTTGCTCCAGGTTCGTCCAGGACGAAGTTGGATCCTCCGGGACGATCGGTACAGGTTGTTCAAGGAAAACTGTTCTGTCTGTATGGTTCGTCTGGACGAAATCATGATCGTTTGGACGAAAATTTTCCAGAGAACCCGTCGCCGGGGACGATAATTAAATCTCGTCTGGACGAAGTTGTCCAGAGCTGAGATCGTCCAGGACGAAGCTCGATCGTCCAGGACGATCAGTCTGGATATATATAGAAATGAGATATTTTGAAGAGAGAGAAAAAGCTGAGGAGAGAGAAAAACGAAGGAGAAAGTGGAAAAGTGGATTTTAGATTTTAAAACTTTCTCTGCATAACTTTTAGTATGTTTTATAATAAAGTATTATAGTCATATTAGCATGTATAATTTGATTTTTCACTTGATATTTTAGATTGTATAATACTTTATGCATTTTATCATGTATATTAACACCGATACAAATTGGTAATAGCATAAGACATAAGAGCTTCAAAATATTATCATTGATATTGTACATGAATGATTTTACGAATTATAAATATTGAATAGTGTACACAAATTTATCCTCATAAACTCAATTATAGTGTCAAACAACTAATATCCACTCAAATAAATAAATAATTAAATAGATGAGCATCTTAGTTTAAAAGATTAAGTTGTAAGAACTGCTTTCAAAAAACTTCTTAAGGGAAGTCATAAGACCTACCTGAAATCCAAATAAAATTAGCCGTTAGTTTAGCCTATAGGGCTAAATTATGAGACCAACCAATGGACTATTTCTATAAAGAAAGCAATAAGACCCGTCCTACCTAAATAATTAGGCAATTTTTAATATAAGTCATGAACCTATTATTTGAAAAATTTTTAAATGAAATATCAAGCCCTCAAATAAAAATTAACTGGCATCTTAATATAAAGGATTATGTTATAAGATCCACTTTTAGGCAACTTCCAAAGGGAAGCTATAAGACCTATCCAAATAATTAAATCAACGAGCAACCTTGCTTTCGAGCTAGGTTATAACACTCGCTAATGGGCAACTCCTAATGACAGTCAAAAGTCTCACTCGCTCCAAATTAAACCAACATGCAACTTCTATGAGACTCGTAAGATCTGTCAATCAAATTCAAATTTAATAAACAGTCTTACTATAAAGCTTAGTTTTAAAGCTCGCAAATGAGCTACTTCTAATAAAAGCCGTAAGACTCGCTTTATGGGCAACTTTTAATGAAATTCATACGTCTCCACTCAAATTCATACACCCGGGCTACTTTTAAAAGAAGTCGTAAGACCCTCTTCAAATCAAACTTTGTGTAACTTTTAAATGAATTTAAAAATTTTCAAACCAAATTAACTATTGGGTATTCTAATAGATGTAAACTTCAAAACTCAATAAAATTAAAACTCACATCTAACCACCTCAATTTACTCAGGATCCTTGGAAGGAGGCAACCCATAGCTGCTAATCAGATTTCCTGGATATTATGGTCAATGATTATTAATGTTGGTAACTTGAAACCTTTGGTATACCCGAGATGATAGAATCATGATATCTTGATTTGGATTGCCATCATTTTTACCCACAATTGAGACTAAAATATATAAAAATTATTCATCCTTAATCGAGAGTTCTCTTTTACGTGTTAAGATAGATAATTAATTAAGAGTGATTGCACTCATAGGAAATTAAAACTCAGATCTAATTAAACCATGACACTACCCTCAGGGAAAATATAGTTCACTACAATATGGCTTAAGGAGAATGGAATCCTATAACTGTAAAGTATGATTTATGCTGACGTGCCATTTTTCTTGATCCAACATAACTATTTTAAAACTCGTCTGAATATTTATTAAATGAATTATTTGAACATTTATATCGGTAAATGTGACCTGCTGAGCTGTATTAGCTCACAGTTTATTTGCAATCTATCTTCAGGGTCTAGGAAAGGAAAAGAGCTAGTTGAGTCAAGATCTGATTTATCTGAGTCTGTATAAGTATTCCTTTCTATGATTTTTTGTACAATCATAACTAGTCTGCTTTGCTCTATATTTTCACTATGTAGTAATATGATATACTATAATTTTATCTACACATTTTAATGATGAAAAGAAAAGAGTTGTGGAAGAGTTTATTTATATTATACTGGATGTTATCAGTAGATCTGCAGTTTTTTGTTAGTTTTTCAGTTGACATTAAGGAAGAAATTATGAAAGTTTTCTAAAATTTATATCCTATGTTTAACATGTTGCAAGGCAACACAATAAGATATGTTCCTTCTATAGGTCTTATCGAGTTGGGTTGTGACAAGTGGTAGCAAGGACATGAGTAATTTGAGTTGTTGAAAGGAAAACTCACACTCCTTATTCAATATGAATGGCTTGGTACTCCTCAAGATCTTGAAGAAAGATGAACACCTTTCGCCTGACTTGAAGATAAAACGATTGAGCACGATAACTCATTCATTGAGTTGTTACACAACCCTTGTGGTTTTGATCTATGGAATCTCCAAGATCACATTTACCTTATCAAAATTGACTTTAATGCCATCAAGGGAGAGAAGGAACCACAAGAATTTTTTTTTAACCTACCTCAAAGGTACTCTTTATTACATTGAGTCTCATATGTGTTGCTTTATTGTACATATATACACAATTTAACTTTCCTATGTATTTGTGTCAATTTATATTGGTTAAATCATGTACAATGATTTTATTTATTCTTGGTGTAGCCTCTTATATTTCTCTTAACCCCATAGATATTGGATAAAATAACATAATTTAGACTTCATGCTATGAGATTATTTACAAAAATATTAGGGCTTTCTATTCACTCCATACTCATTAGCTTTTCTCATTTGGTTCTATAGCTTTAATCCATCAAGAATACATTGATAAGATCAACTTTCATCCATGGATAAATTTGAATCCAACAAATGCAAATTATATTAATAAATGCTTGAAAATTATCAAATTTATTTTGAAATTAATAAAAAAATTATATTAATTTAAAAATATATCAAACTGTCAAAATAAAATCACTGATCGAGTTTGGGTCCAACCTGGAAATGACTCGACACAAGTTGACCCAACTCGAACCCAACCCATTTTTGTAAATGGGTTAAGTATTTTAACCTAGACCTGACCCGTGTTGGTTGTCGGGTTTACCCCACCTCACCCGCGGACCCATTTTGATTCAAAAACATGCGAGTGAGATGGCAACCGTGGTCAGGGTGAACTGAGATCGTGAGGTCACAGGTTGGGTGAGTCGTTGAGTTCAACTGATCCAGTACTTGAGCGATTGAGCTATGAGATTCTAAGGCCACATGCAAGCAAGTTCCTATTGTCGTCATGTTCATCGTTACTTCCAATCCAACTGCATAACAAACAACGAGCTCCCTTCTGTCATTTTTGTTGCTTATGATCCAACTATAAAAGTATAATAGCAAGCTCCCTGATGTCAGCCCGTCGTCGTCATTGCTTCCGATCCAACTGCAGATAAACGGCGAGCTCAACCTCAACTATCGTGTCATCCAACAAGAGAGGTAGAAGCAAATAAGGGTTGTCAAAATCGGGACATGAGTTGGGTTTGGGACCAACCTGGAGCTGACCCGACACAAGTTGACCCAACTCATTTTTGAAAACAGGTCAGGTATTTCAACCCCCGCTTTGATTCAAAAACAGGCAAGTGCGATGGCAACTGCGGTCGGGCAAACTGGGACTGTGAGGCCGCATGCGAGGTGAGTCAATGAGGTCAACTAGTTAAGCACCTAGAGCTGCAAGGCACTAAGGCAACAGACATGGAGCTCCTGCTATCGTCGTCAACGTTACTTCCAATCCAACTACAGAACGAACGGCGAGCTTCCTCCTGTCATCGTCGTTGATGTCGATTCAACTACAAAAGATAAACGGTGAGCTCCCTATGGTCAGCCCATCGTCTTCATTGCTTATGATCCAATTGTAGATTAACGACAAGCTTAGCCTCATCTGTTGTGTCTTCTAACTCGACAAGAATGAGCAAACCCTAGTTCGTGAAGTCAGCCAGTCGGCATCGGTGCTTCTAATCCAACACTTCAGGCTTCTGTCATCAAAGGAGGCGAATCAGGATTGTGCAGTGAAATTGGGTCAGTCCTGGTCAATTTTGGGTTAGCGGTTTGACCCAGACCCGACCCGATTTTTCAAACAGGTCAATTTTGAGAACATGAACCTAACCCATCTGCCATTTGGGTTTATCCTAACCCAGAATTTTCGGGTCTGATTTGGGTCTGATTTTCGTGTCATATCAAATATTGACACCCCTTGAATAAACCCTAGTCCTTGTCATTGGTCTGTCGTCGTCATTGCTTTCGATTTAACCCTTCTACCTTCCATCGTCGAGGGAGGCGAATCGGGACTGTGCGGGAAAATCAGGTCAGTCCGGGTCAATTTCGGGTTAGCATGTTGACCAAGACCCAATTTTACAAATAAATTAATTTTGAGAACTTGAACTCAACCCGTTTACCAAATGGATTGACCCTAATCTAAATTTTTATGTAAGGTTTGAGTCTAATTTTGGAGTCGTGTCAACACTCCTGCTTTTCTGTCTGCCATCTGTATCTGAATTCGAATTGATGATTTCGTGTAAGCATCTTTGTTGATCGTTTGCTTCTGGAGTTGAAGGTTGCTTCTGCCATGGATCCTGAAGACAACGGAGAAGAGGTGGCGCCTCTTGTTGTTGTGGTTGATGACTCTTCCTCTGAAATCAGGCGACCAAAGAACCATGCCAGGGACGCCCATATCCTGAGCTTTGCCTTCCTGTTCATCTTCTCCGCTTATGGGGCAGCTCAGAATCTTCAGAGTACTGTCAATACGGTGATTCTTACTACTTTCCCTTTGGCGAATTCTTCTTATGAGATTTATGCTTTTTTTGTTGGTTATCTTATGATTTGTTGGTGGTCTTTCTTTAGGAGCAAGGTTTGGGAACAACGTCCATGGGGATACTTTATCTATCTTTCACTTTTTTCTCTGTTTTTGCTTCCGTGGTGGTTCGGTGGTTGGGGTCAAAGAAAGCTCTTGTTCTGGGCACTACGGGATACTTGCTCTTCATAGCTTCCAATCTTAAACCTTTATGGTATGGCATCGAACTTTCTTCAGTGTTCATTTGGTTGATTGTTGATCGTTTTGAAAATTTATGATTTTATTTTCACTTATTTTGTGTGTGAAATTGAAATCGTCACATTTGAGGGTATTTTAAGGAGTTTGTGGTTCTTATTGGAGCTAATGCCGATTTTTAAATAAACCCAATCAAAGAAGAAACTAGCAAATTTTATCATTTTTCAAATCATGTTTTCTACCTTTAAACCTGTGTGACCTTATAACCTCATAATTAGAGGATTCTTATTGTGTGGCTTAAAAGATGAGTCTTGGTGTCACTTACTAGGTTTTCATCTTTGTTATGTATGATGTTGTTGTAATGGAATTTCTGGTGGAGTTTCTGAATGTTGAAATTTGGGACAGTTTGTCTACCCTTATCACCTAATATTATTACTCTGACTGACTTCAAAAACCTTTTATTTTTCTTGTTTACTATCACATGTATCTTAAGCTTCGTTTGGGAATTCTTAAAGCGACTTTCTTGTACAAAAATTTAATTTTTGTAAAAAAACCACTTAACCACTTTAAGAAGCAGTAAAAAAGCCGTCCCATGAAGCCATAATCTATCGTCAAGATGCCTCTCCATTCATCAAATTTTGTCTGCTCTATGCAATCATTTATAAGACATTCAAGCAGGACATATATATTCCAGATTATAGTTCTTCCTCATGTGGGTTTGCTTTTATAAGCTCTCTGAATTTGTAATTCATTGGCATTCCTCTTTCTCATTCAAATTTGGTGTTTTGTTATACTTTTAGTTCATTGGTTTTCATTGCGGTTTGTTTTCGTAGGTACACGATGGTACCTGCTTCATTTTATCTTGGTTTCACGGCATCTATAATCTGGGTTGGACAGGTAATTAAATGCTGATAATATGCTTCCATGTTACTAGTATACTTTATGGCTTACTCAACATACTCAAAGGTTTGATGTAGTGGATCTGATAGGGTACATACCTAACTTCGGCTGCACGCCGCCATGCAAAAGATTGTAAATTGCATGAGGGAACTGTTATTGGTAACTTCAATGGTGAATTTTGGGGGTTTTTCGCTAGCACGCAGGTATGCTATGCAATTGTCCTTTTTTTCTGAAACTTATAGATTTTTTTTTTTTTTTTTGATGTTAGAGTGTAGGCCTGAAGTAAAGATCAACCCCTTAGACTTCTTATTGTTTCATGATGCAGTTGGGGCACTTTTATTATGTTGTATTGAATTGAGCCATATTCTTTTTTGTTATGGGAAATAAGCCATTGATGAAGCTAACTTATATTTTGCAGGTTATTGGCAATTTAATTTCACTACTTCTTTTACAAGATGGAAATGTAAGTTGCCATACCTTGATCAATTTTGGAGGACTGTTGATTTATTATTTTAATTGTCTTCTTGTCTATTTCTATGTTTCTATTTGTGTAGCAGCTTGGAATATGCCTATTTATTGTCAATCTATATGTAATTGATGAAATCCTTTTTGAATAGCTTCCGTTGCTTCAATGGAAGTTCCATTCGCCAATCACAAAAGACTTAAATATTGTTATCTTAGTAAGGGTATTATTTTGTACACTTTTTCTGGCTACCTTCGACTCAGGAATGCATCTATGCCAATTTTACTATCAGTTGAGTTGTCCTAGGTTGAGTATTCACTTCTCCCTACTGTCCGTAGTTATTTCCATTGGGTGGAACATGCATTGACTTAATATCTTGATCTTTTGACGAATTATGAGTGCAAGTACAGAATGATTTTATAACATGTCAATCATAGAAGGCTTTGTCAATATTTTAGTTTTGCCAAGTTTGCAAAATTCCATAATCAATTGTATTGGGTTGGATCATATCAGCGCTATTTTGCAAATCCATTGCTTCCATCTTGCTTCCACCTTTCAGTTAAGGAATGCTTGTAGAACAAATTTTAGCTTCTATTGTCTCTCAGATTGAATGTTCTCTTCCCATTGTCTATAGTTACTGTTAGTTCAACTTGTCCCGTTGCTGCACTGCGAATTCTAATTTGGTGGCATCATTATTGCAATGCTTTCTGGATTCTTTAGCCCAAATAATCTATAACAGTGGAATTTGTCACCTCCAATCCTCACTTTTTTTGTGAGCGGCAAGGTTGCTATCGGATTTTTTTTGTAAAATTTCACCTCTTAAGCTTTTTGAAAAAAAAATACTCAACATGCTTGTAATTCTAGAATCATTTATTGTGGACAATAATGCACTAAGGACCTTATGGAAGCTATCTAGTTGCGAGAAGTTTAGATAGTTTTACCGAATATTCAAATGAGCAACCAGTGCATTGATATAATGATTTAGTTCTAAGGGAAGCTTTCTTGTAGATACAAGGAAGGTCAATGTAAGCATGAGTCTAATAATTAAGGCTTCGTTTGGGACGGTTTTTTTCCTGCTTCTAAAAACAGCTTTCTAGGATAAAAATAAAAAATTTTAACCAGAAAGCTGCTTTAAGAAGCAGTAAGAAAGCTGTCCCAAACAAAGCCTAATTTGGGTTGGTATTGCTTAATGGACCATAGATCACTTGCATGGGTTATTTCTAGGTTTATCTATATATCATCTTTAGCCTATGTTGATGTAGCTTTTTTAATCAAGGAATGGTTTATCAATTTCCATTTAACTTTAGCATACACTTATTGTATTTTCCTTCCTGCTTGGTATACTTTTTCGTGGATATTGTTAACTTGACTGCATGATTGTAGGAAGGAGGTAGCCCCACTGGAACAGGCTTACTTTTTACTATCTTTCTTGGCTGCATGATTTTTGGTGCAATATTGATGTGCTTCTTATCTAAAAGAGATGAAAAAGAGGATGCTCTTCTTTCACACACTTCTATCAGACATTTACTGAAGTCTGTCGTAGTTCCTTTACTGGAGACACGAATTCTACTAATCATTCCTCTTATGGTATATTCAGGGTTGCAACAAGCTTTTGTATGGTAAAGATTTCTTTTACTGTTATGCACTCAGTACATTACCGAGAATGATTCAATTGCTTGACTTGGTTTACTTTTTGGCATTAATTAAGTTATTTTGATTGGTAGGGCTGAATTTACAAAGAAAATAGTAAAGCCAGCTATTGGGATGTCAGGTGTTGGTGGTGCAATGGCAGTATATGGTGCAGCAGATGCAATTGTATGTGAAATTTCCAAGGACTCTTTGTATTAGTAGTCATGGCGCTTGAATCTTGATGCAATCTATTTTTTGTTGTGATCTTTACAAGGCTCTTTAGTAGTTGCCAGTTCACCATAATAGCAAGATTGGTTCTAGTTCACCAGTTCACCATAATAGGGCCGAATTTCATGTGATTTTTCTGTGTAATCAACTCGAGTAAGACATATTGTCAGGGGCCTTATACCATTTTAATTTACCTGTCAACATACAAGTTTTTCTGTTATGCGGCCGGCCCAGTAGGGGCCGGCTGAACCGGTCCAACGGTGATTGGTTTGAGTTTACAACCAGCGGCCCAAGGTTTGGGCGGAACCTTTGGGGGGGGGGCCGATGGCCCAAGGTTTGGGTAGAACCTAAGGGGGCAGAAGCCCTAATGGGGCCCACTTGCTTAATTAAATAGCATTTAGGAGGGAAAATTTGAACTAGGGGTTATTTAGGGATTTTGTAAGCCTCCTTTGGCCTTTAATAGTCTCTTGGAGATTAGGGTTAGGGTTATCTTGAGATTTGCTGACATTTTGAGATCTAGGGTTTGTTTGGGCTCTAAGCTTTGCTAGAGATTTTGGAGAGTTTCTTCCTCTCGAATTAAAGAAAATTGTATCTTGCTTTGTTTTTCTTGTTTGTTGATTGAATCAAAGTATTTTCCTTGTGTTTCTTCTCCAATCTACTAAATTTCTTGCATTGTTCTTGCTGATTTCTCCTTGAAATCAGCCTTTTTACTCGCTGTTTTTGCCAATTCTTGCTAGGTTTGCTTGCGAACTCAAGTATTACCCTTGGGGTTACTTGCGAACTCAAGTACTTCCTATCATTTTCCTTGGTAGTTTGATTTCAAATAGTCATGATTAGTTTTTGGGGTCCTTTCTTTTGCTGATCTTACATTTCTTTAGCTGCATATCATAGTTTTTCTATGTCTTTTCTTTGTTTTTTTGGCAACATTAGCTTACCCATGTTATCTGACTATTTTAAATCTCTCATGCTCTTTACTAGTGCAGAGTTCTCTGTTGGCTGGTCGGTATACATCTGGTCTATCCTCTGTGACAATAATTGTCTCTGTTGGATCATTTCTTCAAATTTCTGTCCTGCTATGGCTGCTTTTTGGGTACAGGTGAGTTTCTGGATGCAGAATTATGATATTCTGCACATTTACAATCGGTGTTTCTGTTTCCCATACTGTTGGCTTAAACTAGGCTTTGAAAGTTCTGACATGCTTTGCTTTTGGATTTGCTTGTGAGCAGCTTAAGCCCCGGAGTGCTTGGCTCGGTATTGCCGCTTCTCATTGGTGCCATATGGGGAGTTGGGGATGGAGTGTTTAATACACAGCTGAATGCCTTATTTGGAATGCTTTTTAAGCATGATACGGTAATCATTTCTACTTGTTTTAGGTTTCGTTTGGAACAGCTTTCTTACTGCTTCTTAAAACAGCTTTTTAATATAAAAATTAAAATATTTGTACTAGAAAGCTACTTTAAGAAGCAATAAAAAGCTGTCCCAAACGAAGACTTAGAAGTCAATATGGGAACTTTTTTTTTCAGCATGAAAATTCTTTCTTAAATGTCGTATGTAAAGATGTCATCTTGGAATCACGTAGGATACTTTCTTCTTGTTATTATCTATAGTTCAGTTTAACTTAGCTTCGGGAGAGAATTACAAATCAAGCTTGAGATGCCCATGACCAGGTAAAACCTATTTAGAAGGGAAAAAAAGGGATTGCAGAGGAAAATTTTAGAGATTGTGATTCCTCTAATTATTTGTTGCCAAAATTAGGAGATTTAATTTGATTTGATTGGGGAGATCTAATTGGAATTAATTAGATTTCCTTATTTTGTTTTGTCTCAATTCTATAAATTGAGTGTCGAGGGTTGTTGTATGCAATAGAGAGAGCTCGTTGTAATTTCTACTTCTCCAATTTAGTAAAATAATCATCCCCTCCCTGTAGACGTAGGCATCTTCGCCGAACCACGTAAATCGCCGTGTTCTTTGTGATTGTGTTGTGTGATTGACTTTATTTCTATTGTGATTGTTTGCACAACATGAACCTCATTTTTTTTCTGCTAGTTCTTCTTCAGTTTCTTCTTCCTCTTCTTACGTCAAATCATTGGTTAATTTGTGTGACCAACAAAACACTTTTGAATTAAATTCTTTTATTCTAATTCCAATAGATTTCTTTTTCATGGTTTTGTGACCTTTTTTATATATTGTAATTACATTAAGTACAAGTTTCAAAAAAATTTGCTTTGCTTTCTTAATTTTTTTATCTGTTGGTCGGAAAGAACACTTTTTCTCCAAAAGAAAACTATGTTTATACTCAGATATAATTCATCAATTGAGATTAAGGAATTTTCTCTATGATTCATAAATTATTGATGGTAAAATTCTAAGGAAGTTCATTAAGTGTATCATAAATCTTATTTATTAAAAAAAATATTAAAGCTACTGTGGTTGTATTCATGCTTGCATGTGAATGATTTTTTCTAATTCTGCGATGTGGCCCATCATCATTGGATTTTTTCTTTCAATTCTCGTCATTAGAAGATATAGTTCTATTTTCAATTAAATCACTGCTAGGAGGTCAGTCATTTTTGTTTAGAATTTGGATTCAACTTTGCAATTCATTATTCTAATATAACTTTTATTCATTGATACAAATCCAAAATTTAGAAAGAACATCATATAATTGTTCTTTTACGTACAAAACTTTTTGTTTTGTACTTCCGAAAAGGTCAAATAAAATAGAAATATATATATGTTTCCCATTACTAGTACAACAACAACATTAAGTCTTTTATCCCACCATGTGTGGTCGGCTGCATGAATCATTTTTCTCCATTGTGGTCTATTAAGAATTAAATTCTCATTTAAATCTAATAAAGAAATGTCATTTCTAATATTTTATAACCAAGTCTTTTTAGGTCTACCTCTACCTTTCTTAACATAAGTCAAATCCGATACATCTACTTTCTTAACCAGGTCATCGGAAGGCCGCCATTTTATATAACCAAACCATCTAAGACAACTCTTTCTAATCTTAACTATCATAGGATCTACTCCAACCTTTTCATGTATATGCTAATTTCGTATCCTATCTGTAAGAGTAAAGCCACTCATCCACTTGAGCATCCTCACCTCCGCAACACTTAACATTATACTTCTCTTTTAATGGCTAACATTCTGCACCATAAAACATTGCAGGTCTCACCGCCATCTTATAGAATTTTCCCTTAAGTTTGAGGGGGACTTTTCTATCACATAACAAGCCCGCTGCCTTCCATTTCATGTATAATTAAGTTATTGAGGATGAATACCCTTTCATCTTGCTCTGGATCTATATATGGTAGTGGTAAAATATCTTGACTGGGTTGGTTTATCTTGCCAAATCAACTAAATTAGTTAAGAGTATATATAGTTTATATATAAATTAAAACCATCTTAATATGAAGTTTGAAGGTCTTTTCAAGGACTGATATATTGCAGTTATGTTCCTCTTACCGAACAGGAAGCAATCTTCGCCCAGTTTAAAGTATGGCAAAGTGCAGCAATAGCAGTTGTGTTCTTCTTGAGCCCTGCCATTGGCTTGGAGGCTATGGTGATTGTGATGATTGTAGCTCTCTTCATAGCAATATCTGCCTTTCTTTTTCTTACTCTTCACATTGAGAAATCCTCTACTGAACTTCATGAGTAGTCCTGTATACCAATTGCTCATTAGAAAAATGTTTATCTATGCTATCTTTTGTTCAACAGAGTCTGGTTTTCAATTGGTATGTTTGTATTATGTGAGAATGAATTGTCATTAACACACTTGGATTAGTAAATCTACTTAGGCTTTATTTGATACGGATTTCTTACTGTTTTTTAAAACAATTTTTTCGTACAAAAATTATAAGAAATAGCAAGAAAGCTGTCTCAAACAAAATCTTAATCTTCTAGTTCTTAAGCTGTTCTAACATTTTTATAAACGTACTTGTTTCACATTCTGTCTCTAAGAGTGAAGCCACTTATCCACCTGAGCATCATCATCTCTTCAAAAAAATTTAATTCAATCATGACTAAATTTTATTCAAGAGTCTACACTTTACATATTTTTAATAATGATAAAGATTTATGTACCCAAATCTCAATATAAAATGGAATGATTACAAAAGAAAATATTTATAGGAATTTTTATAAAGATTGTTTAATCTAAGAAAAATTAGGTATAAGAAAAAAAAAGGTACTCTTTACTAAAATTTTAAAAAAAATTGCTATATATGAAATATGTGAATAATTAATCAGTTTGTGTATTAATCTAAATTTCTTTTTTCTTATTTTGAAATGCATATGGGCTAAATTTTGATTAAAATATCTCTTTCTTTTTTTTTTTTTAATTTCTTTACCCATCTTCCTCAAGATTGGCATCAATCTTAACATTGGTTTTTTTTTTTTTTTAACAAAATAAAATCTATGTTTGGTGGAAAAAATATTTCATGTAACTTTTTCTAATATTTCATTAGAATATACTAAAGAAACTCACCAAGTACTTAGGAATTCTTCAAAGGTATAAGATTAGAGAACTTATTTAAGGAACTCACCTAAGAGATTTAGGTTTCATTTGGAATATCTTTCTTATTATTTTTTACATTAATTTTTTAGTATAATTTTTTTTTTAAATAGTGAAAATATAGCGGCTAAAAATTATCTCAAATAAAGTCTTAGGTTTCGTTTGGGATGACTTTCTTATTATTTTTAGTAAGAAAATCGTCCTAAACGAATCATTAATGTATTGGAAATATCAAAAAACTTTAGGTCTCGAAATTATTGTTCATTTATTCATTTGAAAGCTAACTAATCTTAAAATTTTGAAATCATGCTTGATAAATTAGATCAAAGTAAATGCTAGAAAATATGTCTAGATCTATAAGCCTTTGGTCTTTAAGATTCTAAAGAAGACAAATTTTGATTAAAATAATAATAATAAATTTACTATAAGCAAATAACATGAAAAAACCATGTAGTTACATATGGTTTTCGATCAAGAAAAAATAAATAAATAAATTGAGTTCACATAAGGGGTATTCTTCAAGTTATATGTAGATCTCACTAGTTAGATTTTTATGCTACCAACATAGGTTTACAAGTAATATACATAATATTAACATAAATATAAGATTAATCTATCATAAGAAAGGATTGATTAATCTTAAACTTGTTTGATTGTCTCACATGATTTTAGAGACAAGTCCACCAAAAAAAAAAATCCCTTCTACTATCTAAAAGTTCTAACCATATTTGCTCATTTCATATTCACTTTAGTACCAAATATAATGGTAGTGAACGGGTCTTTTGGCGAGATTTAAAGCTATAAAGTTTATGAATCTTTATTTTAATATTTAAAGAAGTGTCGTGGGAGTTTATGATGGAATGATGTGGGGCTTTGAGGGGCATACTAGTATGAATGACAAGGCTAATCATATTTGTGCTAATTTGGGCTAAATTGGAAGATTATTTTGTGAGATAAATGATTGGAAATGATGGTGGTTGGTTAACTTAGAATTTTAACTTATGATATAGAGTTGATGATATAGTTTTGTGGAGTTTAAGTAGGGAACAAGACTAGGTTTTAATATTGTGTGGTTTGGCCGAGAGCTATATAGAATCATTTTGAATGTAACATTTTATTTTTTTGGTTTATTAGTCTTAAAAGTTGCTTATGAAGTGGAGAAAGAGGTGTGAAAGGTTTATAGTTGGTGTTAGGGAGGAATAATGTATAACTTTAAGGAAATGGTGATAAATATCCATTCTTAAAAAAAAAAAGGCATAATTGAAACCATCAAATATCAAGCAAATAAAGAACATTTCTCCACCAAAATATTTCATTTCAAAGTTGAACATTGCAATGCATATCACCCTATATTTATGAGCATTACAAGGCTTATGGGCAACCAAATTTGGAGAAAAAATGGGAGGAGAAAGGGTGGGAAAATGGTGAGTTAATGGCTATTAATAATGAAGAATACCAGCCACCTTTTTTTAATACTTGATCTATATTAAATGATTAAATCATGCCTTGGATTAACATATAAGTCCCTAGCTATGTGAATTTTAAATATATAAATTATATTTTATGTTTTTTTTTTTTACTATTTTAGTTGTATTTTGCTTATGTTGTTTTTACAACTTTTACAAATCAACATATCATAATTATATATTTATACAAGAAAAAAGGTTAACAATTAAGAGATTCACTAATAGACAACTTCTTATAAATACATTAAGACATATAATAAAAGTTTAAATTGGTAATTAATGTAATTAATAAAATTGAAACTTATGCTTTATTTGGGATAACTTCATCACTGCTTTCTAAAGTAGCTTTTAAGTACAAAAATTTCTTTTTTTTTTTGGGACATTTAGGCCATTTAAGGCAAACTCACACACACAATGCATACACAAAGACTGGAACCTTGGACCTCTTAGTTGGAAGCCTAAGCTCTCAACCAATAGGCCAAGGAGAGTTGTGTAGTACAAAAATTTCAAGTTCAATAAATTTTGTACTAAAAAATCGTTTTAAAAAAGCAGCAAATTTTACTGCTTCTAGAGCAGCTTTTTAATACAAAAAATTTTCAATTGAAGAGGGAAAGATAGGATTTAACTTGCAGTTTGATTTAACAGTTCTCTAAATCTGCTCAATTGAGCATAAGGATTCTCTCATCTCCCTCAGTCGCTGTCGACTTCGTCTCACGCTTTAAGTTCGCCGCACCTTCCAACGAGCAAGGAAGAAGAAGCCTCCTTCCCGCTCGCTGCTCCCTCTCATTCGATCGGCCTAGTACGCGAGATCTCTCGTACGAGGCCACACGAGCCTTCATGCTCGGCCGATCCCACACGTCTTCGACCCGATCCCGTACGCAGCCTACAGCCGCACATCCGACCGATCCCTCCCCCGTCTTCGACTCCAGTTCGCACGCAGACCCGTCCTTCAACCCCTCTATCGCCTCCGTTCGGCCCGATCAAGCAAGATTAGCTCAATTCATGGAAACTCCATATAATATAAGGATAAAAATAGCGAACTGTTCAGAATTATTGTGAACTCACAAAGCTTTTGACAAACTCACCCAAGGTTACTCGATATAAGGCTTTAACAATCCTACATAGGGCTCTGCAAATGACCTGAGAGTTTGACGAGCTATGAATAGCTCGGCTCAATAAGAGTTTATTCATGTTCATTTGATAGGGTAAACGAACGAGCTTGAACAACTTAGTGCTCGGTTTGTTTATGTTCATGAACAGTATCGTTTAACACTCATGAACTATCTCTTTAAAAAGCTCGATTAGAGACTAAGAAGCTCGATAAAAATTATATTAGAGTTTTACAAAATACATATTGTTAAATTTAATAATTTATTTTTACTAATCTCATCTAAAATTATTTAATAATTTATTTTTACTTCCAGCATCCACGTAAAATATATCAAATATCCCGCTCTCTGAACAAATATAAGAAGAATCATAAATCATTTGTTCCTGAACGACCTCATTTGGTAACTCGAAAGCACTAATTAGACACGTTCATGACTGAGCTCATTTGATAGCTCAAGAATACTCATTAGATATTTTCATGAACGAGTTTGTTTGATAGCTTATTAGAAATGTTCACGAACATGCTCAATGTAAATGTTTGTTAGAAGGCTCATTTGTTAAGTTAATATACAATAGAAGTAGAGCTCATTTATAGCTAGATAAGGCTCGTTTGTTTAAAGCTTGATAAGCACAAAATGAATCAAAACATGAATCAAATATGAACACCCATTTATTTAAACAAACAAAGCTTGAACACAGATAAAAAAGCTCAAATCAAACTCAAACCGTACTTAAATAAGCTGATAATAAACAAACTCAAATATGAACATGCGCATGCTCAATTCGGCTCAGTTCATTTGCAGCCCTAGTCCTACAATCCCAAGCTTAAAAATTTCTTACCCACATTCATTCAATAAAGCCGGCGGCTTTTTCTAGTTAAGTTGGTGACTCCATCTAACAAGTCAACAAATTCATCTAGAATATATTTTTGTTGGACAAACAAAAGAACGACAAAGAATTCTTAATGATCCATGCATTCTAGAAAGTTCTTTAATAGTTTCCATCCAAACATTCTAGAAAGTTCTCTAAAAGTTTCCCAATGATCAAGCATTCATTCCAAGATCATTTCTATCTAATTCAAAACTTAGCTTGCCTACCAAAAGCAAGAAGAAAGTCTCCCAAACGAAGCCTAAGACTACGAATATGATAGTTAAAGTTGAAGGCCCAAAAAAACATGAAACATCAATCCATTGGCCAAAAATTCACTTTCATTAAAAAAAATAAGAGAATCATTTACATACTACCAATTGTATATACACATGAAGTTTCAGTGAACCTTTTTGACAAAGCAACAATTTCTACGTTCTGTTCTAAAAGAAATTTATGCTCCAAGGATTGATCTTCAAGGATCCTTTCTTCTACCATTAACAGAAGCAAAAAAAAAAAAAATCCTTCTTTTTGTTGGGCCTAATCTTATACAGGTTAAAGAAGACATTAGCAGAAAAATCATAACTAGTTCAGAAAGCTGTTCAAATCAATACCTCTTTCTTGTGCAGCTTCAATGATTTCGCTAGTTTCACCAGCAGAAGAATATAGATTTGCATAAGATTGCCAAAGTTTGACAGAGAAAGGATAGACTGAAATGGCTTGTTTATGGAACCTGAGGTTGATTTCTAAGCTTTCTGAAGTTTTCAAAACTTCTGCAGCTTCTAACCATACATGCTCTGGTGCAGCAGGAGCAGACTGGAAGATGGAATTAATCAATAGAGTGCCTGCCCAGAACTTCACTGAATTGAAGCTTCGGCTACAAATTCGATATACTGATAAAGCTAACTCATAGTTTGTTGGCGTTATTTCCATCAGAAATTCTACAAAACTAAATGCTTCTTTAATGTCATTGAAGTTTTCTGGTAGAAGAGATGGGCCATAACATACTTTTAGAACAGAATTGATTAGAGTAGATGTCATGGAAACAGGGCCCAAAATGTTATTAACCATCTGCTGGATTCTAGGGTTCTTGATGGTTCTAATGAACCTTCTTGACAGTGGCTCTAAGTGAAGGCTCGACCGGAAATCGACCAAATATCGATTTATAAGGGAAGATAAGGTTCTTAATGGAAAATGCTTCTGTGATTCAATATTAGTTGATGCCATGAATAAAGCATGCTCCATTACAAAGTGATTGTAATCCTCAGGAGCAGCAAGCTCCAATGATTTATCAATAGCACAGCAAGCATCTACAGCACTCTTCTGCAGCATACAATAAAGAAACAGATTAAGAAAGCCAAAAGCATCATCTTTTGTCTTCAATTGAACCGCGCCGGTAGAATTTATATGCGAGGATGAGTCAAAAGAAATTTCAGTTTCCAGTGCGCAGAAGCTACTAAAATCCCTGAATTTTGGAAAATCCTGGTACCACCGAGCCATAGCTTTTTCAGCTAAGTCAATTCTATCATTTGTTAAAGCATACTCAACATATTGATTCCATAGGCATTGGATACCAGGCGTTTCTTTTGGCCAGTGGTAAAGAGCCTCTTCAAATGCTACGAATTCTGAATCAGTCACACAATTTCGTCGAGAACGAACGGCCATCAGAACAAGCTCGATACAAGACGGATACAATTTTAAGTACTTATCCAACAATTCTGTATAACCAGGAAAGCCGAGAAGAGCTGCTACGCATTTGACATGGCTCACAGCAAGAAAATGCATGGATTGAGAAGAAGCTTCATCGATTTCATTAGGATTGTCATCCAAGTATGAAGCCATCTCAGCCGCCGCTAATTTCATAACTTCTAGAGCAAGGGCTTTCCTATCAGATGTCAGTTGAGCAGATGGCCAGTCCAATCCAAACGGCAGACTTTTTGCAAACTCAAACTGTTGCACGGTGGCATGCGGAAGCTTCTCATAAACTATGAAGTATATACAAGAAATCCAGAATAAGCATCGGTCCGGCACAGTCAAGCAAGTGCAGATGTCTCTAAGTGGATTGCCACTGCACTCTTCAAACTCATTAGAAGGCAGAAGTCCACATATTCTAATAATAACCTTATCAACATTCCCAGACATACATAAGAAATCAATCATCTGCAAAAAGATATCCAAGATGTAAGGACTTAAATCCTTCCCATCTCGACCTCCTATGTGGCATAATACATTAAGTACTCCATCATATGCATTCAAACGATCCTCACACAGCATTCGACTGTTAATATAAAGAAGCCACAGCTCATAAGAATCTTTGTTGTACCGCACCTAAAAGCGAACAAAGAATCATAACAATACAAATCAAATGCAATAATACCAACAGCTTACAGAAAAGCAGAATGAATTGATACCAGAGTTGAGAAAACAAAAAAGGGAATGCATGAATCAATAGATCCATCAGAAAATGAAATTTATCAGTCCAAAGTGAAGTTCAAATGATTTACTAATGTAAGTTGCTTAATGGATCATGAAATGAGAAACATGAAATACTGAGAAGTCCTGATCAAGAACCATAAAGGCACTTCGAAAACCGAACAGGGAATGGACACTTTCCACCATAAGGAGTAGCATTCGCAGAAAGGAAAACTACCATTCTTAGAGAAAAATACTAATTTTCTTTCTGCTGCTTCCATATAATACTTACGCAATTTCAGTAAAAAACGCCTCAATGCTTACGCCTCGAGTTTTTGTTATGAGGCTTGCGCCTCAACTTGGTTGAGGCAAGCCTTGAGGCCCGCCTCGCCTCACGCTATATATATTAAAACTTACATAAATCTTGAAGTAAATGCCCAACATTGGACTCTATAGGAGAGGAGGAAGGGGAGAGAACAGTTTATCATAATGATGATTCAAATAAAGAACCCCTTAGTGATGACAGTGTTGATGACTTGTGAGTTCTTATGTGACATGTCATTGCTATTTGTTTTTGGAAATTGGAATTATATGTTAATGAAAAGAATAATGGGATGTGGGAAAGATAGAATTTTGAGTTGAACTATATTTCATGTTGTCTTATTATTGGGATATTTTGATTTCAATTCATATCTTATGCTTTTTTATGTTTTATATTATTCACTCATTAGTATATAAAAAATTTATCATTTTATGTTTACGCAATCTTTTGATTTTGAGGCTTACGCCTCAAAACGCCTTGAGACTTACGCCTCGCCTCACGAATGAAAAACGCCTCAATACCCGAATACGCAATTTTAAACATTGCTATAAACACAACATAAATGTTGAAATAAAATACTCAACTAAGTCTCTCTCATTCATGCCATGAAATTAGAGCCCGAACATTTTTCTCTATCACAACCTTCATCACTGCATTCCCACAATCCACCAACCTACATCGTTGCACCATCTTTATTTTCTCATATTTTTCTATAGATGCAGCCTTCATCAATACTTAGCCATAAATTATTGCAGCCTTCATCGTTGCATTATTTCCCATTGAAGCAACCTTCATATCTATATTGCCGCATTTCTTTCCATCTTTATTTTTTTGGTAGAACCATAATTTTTCTCTATATGTAACAATAATAATAATAAGACCCACATACTCTTGGTATCGGGTCTTCTGGAATTGAGGGATGCAATAGAAATCTAACAAAAGAGCTTCAAAATATTCATTTAACTAAGCTTTGTAATCACACAATCAAGTATTAAGTTGTTCTCTTCATGTAAGGCGAGGCATGAGCTTTGAGCATTCTAAGGCATAAGTCTAGAATTAAATAATTAAATTAATAAAAAATATGAAATAATATGTAATATACTCACATCATCGATACCTTATTACTAGTTTGTATACTATTTATATCCCTAAATATACCTCTAGACTTTATATAATGTGAATAGGAATAATGCTATGAAGGAAAAAATAAAAGCCCTTCAAAAATATTAAACAAGAGAAATAGTGAAGCCACCAAAAAGATATAAACTAGTAGGACATAAGTAGGTTTTTACTATATGATACAAATATGATGGTTCACTAGAACGGCATAAAGCCACATTAATGTTCAAAGGCTACACTCAAATATATAGGATTAATTATCTTGAAACATTTTCCCTAACTGCTAAAACAAGCATAGTTAAGAAACATAAATTTCTCTTAGACTTGGTTAGAAAATATTAGAAATAATCTTTCTTTATTAGATTTAAATGAGAATTTGACTCTTAATAAGATACAATGGAGAAAAAAGACTCATGTAGCCGACCTCATGTAGTGGGATAAAGATTTGATGTTGTTATTGTTGTTGTTGTAGTAAAAGAAAATCACATGGTGATCATCAACAATGTATTTAACAAATGCACATAATCAAAGAGTTAGAGCAACCAAAAATAAGAAATCAAAATGCATGAATAACATTTCGGGACCATATAGGACTTTAGCTTTACTATAGCTAATCATTTGGTTAAAGAAGCAGAAGGTGTCTACAAAAAATAAATATTATAGACCGTTTGCTGGGAAGAAGCTAGTTTACACCCAGTTTGATAAGGTTTGTAGGGCCGATGTGCTTGCAGAAGATGGAGTCTCAATGAATCTCGATGTGGACCTCGGTTCGACAAAATATCTCCAAATTGGATAAAACCTTGGTTGACAAGTTACTAGGCAAACACATTCCCCATTCTATAGTGCATAATGCGCTCATACGGAGCTGTTCACAATCGGGTGATTTTTAGTTGATCATAGTTGCCTCGAACTATTTTATTTGCCTTTTCAAAGCTTCCCAATCGGGTGATTTTTAGTTTATCATAGTTGCCTCAAACTATTTTATTTACCTTTTCAAAGATTGGAAGAGAGAGACGCAATCCTTCGAGGTGGACCGTGGATAGTGGCAAGAAGCATCATTGGATTGGATCGATGGTTACATTCATTTTCATCAAATTCAATGCAAGGCTTGTTTTCCCCAATTTGGATCTAACTTTCACAACTACTACTTATGTACTGGGACTCATCGACATTACTCAAATGGTTGCGATGATTGGTGGAGTCATTATGGATGATGTTAAGTGTAAATTGTGTATTGTATTTAAATTTAGTGAAAATGTATTGTTTTAATGGTGTTTGTGAAGGAAATGTACAAAAAAAGCCAAAAACTATTAGTGTTGAACAGTGCCACATCGCTATCATCAGAAGCATCTTAGCATTCGATTTCACAGCACCCCGATGCCATATTCAAACATTGCAATGTCGAGTTCTCTGTTTTCAAGCACCGCAGTGTCACTAGGTCAGCGTCACAACGCGACACAACATCGTTTAACCCAAATTTAGCACAGCATATTCCTTGGGAAAATGAGTGCCGAAGTGCCAAGCTTTGCAACGCCTTAGCGCCAAAAATCATATTTCAATGCCACGACACTCAAAATTCGGGAGCGCCGCAACGAAGCAGTTGCCAACGCGAGGAGCCGTGCTAACTCAGTCAAAGGACGCACTATTTCAATTATTAATCGTGTCAGGTTAGCCAATGCCGCAGGAAAGCCAACATTACAACGTTGATGCACTAGTTCATTTTTACTGCCACAGTGCCACTTTGTCGAGCTCTGTCCTTGTACTTCCTATAAATAGTTTTTCAGTTTTGTTGTTTAGGGAGTTCTGTCACTTAAGTGAAATTCTATAATTTTAAGTTTTTCATTAGTGCCCCTTAGAGTAAAGTCTAAGGGAGGCTAGGGAAGTGTTAGATACTTTGCATTGTGGAGATCTTAGCATGTTTGTGTAAGCAACTCAGTGGTTGAAGGAGTGTGGAAAAGATCATCTGATGATAATTTTCTTATTATTTCTCTTTTACCTTTTCTTCTAATGAATGAAATGAATATGAGTTTGTTTGTTGTATCTTTCATGTCTGGCTAATTCTCTAGTTTTGAGTTGATGATGAAAAAAACATAGTAACTAGTGATGTAGACTTGTGCCTTGAATGATAAATTGATGCTTTCAATATTTCTCGTTCTTCATTTAATGCATACAATGATCATATGTAGTTAAAATCTAGTGTGATGTGTAGCCTCGGTGGAAGAATGCTAATATAATTATGATTATTAAAATAGAATGTTGGCATGCATAGACAAAAGATGTTTGAATATTCTAAGTTTTATGGAGATGGTAAAAATGTAGGAGCGTCATAAACCTTGAGAGAAATCTAGGGAAGCATATGCTCTAATCCACATCTAAAATCAAAAAATTTTATTAGGAAAACTATGTTATTTACATTTATTAGTCTAAAACTATGTTATTTACATTTATTAGTATCGAAATCTACTTGCAAGTTTTTTTTCCTTTTATTGACAAAAACTTCAAAATATCATTTTTATTTTCGGTAGGACAAGTTGTGCATTTGAAGTGAGCAGTAGTAATTAAATTGCATTTAAGCAGAACACTTCCTCGTGGATTCGACATTCTACCATATCACTTTATTACTTGACTTGATAAGTATACTTGCACACTTTTATTAATTTCATATAAAATAAAACTTAAAACATATTTTAAACTCAGCAAGTCACATACTAGCTCACCGTAAACCCCCATCAAATGAATAAGCAAACTAGTTCATGTGGTAGAAAATCTTATGCGAGAGCTTGAGTGCACACAGCTTGACGCAAAAATTGTTGTTGAGGATTTGGATAAAAGGAATAAAATGGGAAGTCATTTTTCAGAAAATAGAATCTGAGGGGCTCTCTCACATTTGTTTTCAATGTGGGCACCTTGGTCACAAGGTGGAGCAATGCCCGGCCAAAGCTCAGCATAAGCCAAACAGGATGCATCCACATGGTGCCTCGCACACTCAGTTGCAGCACGCAACAAGAAACCACAGCTCACAAAAGTCCTCTAGTGAGGAAGAACAGGATAGGGACTCCAAGCATATGCAACTTGCAGAGGTTAGCAGCTAAATTCAGCTTCAAGGATCACTCTAATTAGCAGCACACCTCCCCCACAAGGCCCGCCCCTAGCTCTATCCAACATGCAAATCACTAGCCATCCAAAGCTAGAAGCCCGTCCCACATTGCAAGCCCCTCAACTCAGCAAAACCCAAGCAGCATAGATATAGAGAGTACGGGCCATTTATTCTTGTCTCTAGGAGGAGGAAACAAAAATCAAAAGCCTAACAACATGGAAACCATTATAGAGGCAATGAGAGGTCTCCATACCATTTAGTACTCTTTTTGAGCTTTTAATAAATGCAATATGCAACTTTTAAAATAAATAAATAAATATTAGCACAAATCGCTTTATAAGTTATCCACAAACATTTACAAAAATATAGAATATCAAGCAGCAAAAGTTCATAGACACCAACCAAACAGTTAAATTTAAAAATTATATCTAAATATGTAATATAAATAAGTAATAATTTATATTAAATTATATGGTTATATATAAATTAAATTTAGATTAAAAATCAAATTTAAAAATTGAAAAATATTTAAATTTAAAATTATCATATTATTATGAGTGCAAATTATTAAAATTAAGATGCATGGGGTCTTTATACTCTTATGTGAGATTTAAAAAATAAATTTTTAAAGTAATTATGTAAGTTTTATATTTCATAATTTTTTATTTCGTTTATTTTTTTTTCATATATTTGGAATGATAACATCATTATTATATTAATTTTATTAAATTTTAAAAATATTATTATTTATTATGTCATCCGGCTCGACCCCGATTAGACCAGTCAAACCGGTCAAACTGTGAACCTCTCCTTCTTCCGGTTAGTTGTCCGGTCCGATTTTTACAACCTTGTCAATGACTACAATAAAAAGGCATTTTTCTTATTATTATTATTTTTAATCCAGATAGGCTATTGGCTCAACAGAACTATAACAAGTTAAAATAGAAGCCGCCAGAAGCTTACTGCATGTAAGAACATGTCATCCTTCCCTATAGCCTTCTCCTTTCTATAATAAATGTGGAGAAAGACAACCCATAAGACCACTGAAGAGGGATCTGATTCAATAGCATGTGACAACAGTGACAAAGCCTGCAAAATTTTGAACTGAAAATGATGAGAAGTTTAGCATCTTTTTAGGCTATATAAAATCAAACTTATTGCATGACAAAGCTGAAGGAAAGATAGTCATGTCAAGAAAATCAATGATATATGATCTGCTGGAAGTAAAACCTTCCTCCTGTCTGGCTCACACAAGTCTCCATCATATTGGTCAAGTGCCATCTCTAGCAATTGTTCACCGTCAGCTGAAACCTGTTTAATTTGTTCCTGTCATGCAACAGTTGCATCAGATCATAGATTTAGTCAGGTTTGAAAACTAATAGAACCATAATAAAGTCGATCACGATAGCAGAGATAACATCAAGCAAGAAAATCCAAGCAAGAAAAGACAATAGAAAAGCCAATACTAAGAGCAAAGTCGATGTCCTCAAAATATAGGAAAATTAACTTTTACAAGCCATGATTGAGGGAAAGCATATTCTAAAGAACCCATAAAGCATTTACAACTAAAGGAGAACGATGAGTTACAAGCACCGTAACAAATCCATCACATATTCATACATGTAGCTACTCATTCAATGCTGAAAGTCTTATTAACGCTTGTGATAAGCACATTCAACTAGAACATTAGAGTGCTCGGTCAAAAGGCTCAGGCAAGAGTGGCATGGTTTCTAAGGTTATATGATCTGCCCTGTTTGGAAGCTAGAATTAGGGGTGTCAATATTTGACCCGACCCGAAAACCCGATCCGAAAATTTCGGGTTCGGGATAGGTATTTTGACCCGTTTGTAAAACCGGGTTGGGTTCGGGTTGACCCGGAAACCCGAAATCAACCCGGTTTGACCCGTTTTTAATTAATTTAGGAGGGTTTTAATGGATTTTTATGAAATAAGTAAATGATATTTCAAAAAATTATAAACATTATTGCTAAAATTAAATTAATCTTGAATTATTTTAAATTAATTAAAGTAAATCTTACCTTAATTTGATTTAGATTTAAATAAATTGAATTAAATAAAAAAATTTAATAAAATATACCTGAATCGGGTCGTGTTCGGGTTGACCCGGACCCGAAGCGGGTCGGGTTCGGTTTTGGAAAACCGACCCGTTTGCAAAAACGGGTCGGGTTCGGGTCAATTTTGGGTTGGGCCCGAACCCGACCCGTGACCTGGTTTTGATAGCCCTAGCTAGAATGCACATTGATATGGTGTTAGGGTTTGGTAATACTCCGATTAGTGCAAAACTTCTGAAATTATTTTAATTGAAATTTTGAAATCTCATACAACCAACTTTCAACTATCGCCTAAAAAAATCAAACTCTACCTAACATAACAACACGCTTATTTATCCCAACATATCTTGTTCCTTAAATCATAAAAGATATGATTTGGCTGCATTTTCTATACATAGACCAAGCATTTTATACAACTTGCTAGCTTTAAATGCTCAAACCAAAAACAAACCTACCAATTATTTTGGTTGATTGGGGCATTGTCAAACAAAGAGATTGATTAAAACTAGAAGGTTGGTTAATATAACTAGTTGACTGATCCGTTTCGTCAACCTATGTAGACAAACCAGCTAAAGGCACACACTCACCTACCACTCCTTCCTCCATTACCTCCTCTTTGAAAACCTTAACTTGCTAACAAAGAAAGTTCATAGCTGGAATGCCTAATGATCTGCACTCACATCTTCTCCTAGCCAGTCCTCCTGGCAAAAAAATTATAAAATTATAATAGAGGAAATATATTCCAGACTAAGACAGAATGCCTTGCAGTCAATATAACTAAAACCATATTTAATTCCCAAATGGCATCTACAGGAATCAAACATTAAATAAAACTAGATAAGTTCACTAAGAGTACAACGGAATGATATCAAATCTAGTTTTAGCTTAGTTTGGCTCAACTCATAATCAAAATTTTTTATTCTCACTCAGCTCGAACAAGATTAGGAATAAATGCATTCAAGTTGAGTCAACTTGAATTGAAATCATTCAAATTAGAGAAGTCACACAAAATGATTTTTTTCCAGTGTGAATAATATATTTACCATCATATTACATATTAAAAATAATCGAATATCAAATATGGTTTATCTCTACTCAGTCCAAGCCAAGGTTTAAAATTACGTAAATAAGCCTCGAGGCGGTTTTCGTCCGTGAGGCGAGGCGTAAGCCTCGAGGCGGTCTGAGGCATAAGCATCATGGACGCAGAATTGCGTAAATGAGAATTTAAGGGTTTTAGCAGGTAAATAATAGCAAGATTCTATCATACAATAAAAACATCTAAATGACATGTGGAATTAGTGGAAATTAAGAAAATAGATGCAATAAAAGCATATTCCAAAGTACAAAACCACAAAATTAAAGTCTATCAGAGCTCCCAAAGTACAATTAAGAAGGAACATATAAAATCCAATCATATTTCATCACTAAATGGGTCTTCAAGGGAATCTTCTTCTCCAATCTATTATGTATAGTGGAGGTAGAGCCCTTTCCACTCTCGCTCCCTAAGTAAGCATTGTGTTCGACCCATTCATCAAAAATTGCTCCTGTTGTAAGTGTTTTATCGTGGTACTTTTCTTCATGTAAGCAATAATTTCATCATTCACCTTGTCCGACACTTTTGCACACGGTGCTACGTTCTTATGAGAGCATGATAAGTGATCATTCATGCGGGTTACTCCGCCCTTCACCACTTTCTCACAAAAAATTGCATTTTAAATACACATGCGTCTTCTCGCCACCTCCTACGTCAACTTAGACCTGTCAATATTGGACCCGACCTGAAAACCCGACCCGAAAATTTCGGGTTTGGGTTGACCATAACCCGAAGCGGGTCGGGTTTAGGTCTGGAAAACCAACCCGTTTGCAAAACCGGGTCGGGTTCGGGTTGACCCGGTAGTTATCTCCTAACAATTTTAGAAGATTTGTATTTGCTCTTGTGTGTACTAACATTTCAGGAAAATTGAACTCAAGACTACGAAGTCTTCAAATCAAATTCAGCATGAGATACTTTGTGAATTTGAAGCTTGTACTTTTCTTTGAAATAAATTTGAAAGGGAGTGATTGTAATTTGAGTGAATAAAAATATACACACACACAAAAGGAGATCATATAAAATTTATACTGATCTTACAGGATGATATCAGTTCATACGGGACGATCAGACAGTTATCTCCTATTGAGCACATAGAACGAATAAGAACTGGCTTGAAAAAATTTTCAAGTCCTATTCGTTCAGGACGAATTTAAATATCGTCCGGGACGATTTGTTTTCTGTAAGATTTTCGTCCAGACGAAATTAATTTGTCGTACATGACGATTTGATCTCTATAAAATTTTCGTCCTGATGAAATTAAATATTATACAGGACGATCTGGTCTCTGTAAGATTTTTGTCCAGACGAAATTAAATTATCGTACATGACGATCTATTCTCTGTAAATTTTTTATCCAGACGAAATTAAATATCGTCCAGGACGATCGGTTCTCTGTAAAAATTTCAACCAGACGAATAAGATTTTCGTCCAGACGATTAACCGACTTAGAACGGTTTTCTGCAATTTTTGGAACCTACCTAGTAATAACCGTTCATACCGGATGAACTAGTTCGTACGGGACGATCAGCTTGTACGAAAAAATTTTGTACACATATACAAAGAGGTTCGTTTCAAGGATTTTATGTAAAATTGTCCAGGACGATCCACGATCGATCAGGACGATCCACTGCGTACAGAATTGAAAACTTGCAATTTTTGGGCGGTTTTTCTTGTCTTTTGTATAAATAGTCCAAATTAGACTGCCACCCAATATTTTTTTGTCATTTGATCTTCGTGCCTCTTAAGAGAATAGCCAAGGAGAAAGTGTGAGAGTGCATTCAAAGGAGGATTCCTACCACTGGAGCGTGAAGGCTTCACTTGGAGTTCAAAGGTAAGAATCTCTACATGTGAATTGGGATGACTTCACTCTTTTCCTTCTAGATTCTTGTGAGAAGATCTGTCAAGGAGATTCGGTTCTCTGCCGACACTTGGAGAGTGTGAACAGCCGAAGGGTTCACTGCCTACACTTGATGAGTGTGAATAGCTGAAGGGTTCTCTGCCCACACTAGGAGAGTATGAAAGGACGATGGTTCTCTGCCAACACTGGGGATTGTGTGAAAGGACGGACGGTTCTCTGCCAACACTGGGGATTGGGTAAAAGGACGACGGTTCTCTACCGCACCGGATAGTAGTGAAAGAGTGTTTTGTAAAGGCTTCTCCGCCTTGCTGTGGGTGCAAAATGAGAGTCACTATTTGTATTAGTGCAATATTCAGAGGGCGCCTCTAGGGAGTGGATGTAGATCTGGTATAGACCGAACCACTATAAATCTGGTGTCATTTACTTTACTGTTTTTACATTTCTGCATTTTATTTTTAATTTTAAAAACTCTGTGGTTGAAAAACATTTTCTAGAAAAACTTAAAAGAAAATTTTTCATTTCGGTTCAACTTAAATTCAAAGAGGGTTTAAATTTTTAAACTATAAATTCAACCCCCCTCTTGGTAGTCTTGGGACATTAACTTAGGTCTAACAACCTATTTACTAGACTCAACAACTTTATCTAAAGCCAAAACATAGGAAGAGGCATTATAACCTAAAGAGATTAGTAAATCATTTTCTTGGAGTTAGATGTTTTTCATGTGGCATGCTAGGAGACATTGTACACACTTGCACCATTCACTATAGTACACATTGGGTTTAGAGACCCAAATTGCATGATTCAGAGCATAACACAAATATATATTAGATTCTTCTTTTCATAAGAAGGGACCCAAACCTGTTTGGGTTCCTAAATCTGACATTTAATTTTTGTAGCTGTGCTCTCACCAAAGACCTCATGAGAGCATATGATACTTAGACAATGGAGGATTGCGGTTCATAATTGCATACACTTGTTGCTTAATAAATTTTGGATTGCATGTTTACATCTATATTGATTATTATTATTTTATTTTTGTGTTTATTAATTTTTTAATTTTTTCATCTCTAATGTTTTTTTTTTCTCTCAAAATTATATTTTGTCTTTTTTTTGGGTTTTTGGAATTTTGTAGTCAGTGTCTAAACAACCCTAAATCAGTTAAAGGGAGAAGCACCATAAAGAACACAATCACATCCAAAACCAAGATTCACCATAAAGAAAATCAAAGTGCGAAAAATAAATGCGAAATTAATAAAGAAAAGAACAAACCAGATTTATAGTGGTTTTGTCAAACCTTTACTTACGTCCACACCTCGGAGGCTCCCT